TATAAAATTAAAAATAAATCCAGACTTATCCCTCTAGTAACCACTTTCAACACCTCTTCCTCCACTATCTCAGATAATAAAAAGTTGGTGGGAAATACTACATCTCAAACCAGTCCTAAAAATTTTGTTTGAGGAATCCAGCCTTGTAGCATATCGTAGACCTAAGAACCTTAAGGAAATTATAGGTAGTAACCAAATTTCAGATGATAAGGTAATCCGTAATAGACCAAAAATAAAACAACAGGATTTTTCCAACCATGTAAAAACAAAAGGAGCTTCTGTTGTAACATTAGACACATCAATTCATTCACTAGCTCAGTCACTAAATCTATTTTCAAAATCTACCACAACTCTAACTGTAGAAGTCATAACATAATTTATCTGTTAGAATGCACACTATGCCAGAAACAATATGTAGGAAAATCTAAATGGCCTTTCACTACTGAATTAATAATTATCGTAATCGGATCAAGTCGGCTCCCACGAAAGATTATCACCTGTAGAACATTTCCGCCGAGAAAAACATTATTTTAAAACCCATGCCAAATTCACTATTATTGAAAAAATAGAAATAGACAGAAAAGATAACATCAGAAAAATTCTAAAGGAACATAGAGACAAATGGATTTTGCGCCTCGAAACACTTCGTCCAGACAGGCTTAAGCACAATTTAAAAAACAGATAGAATTAATATATAATCTCCATAAATATTAATATAAATCCCTACCCACATTTCTTACCCACACAAGACAGACATGACAGACACTTATACCCACACACGCGCGCGTGCACACACACACACACACACACACATACTAATATATACACTATGTATGATGTCTATCATACATACTCCCAAAGAACTAAATGATAGCGCACACTTAACACACACATATCCCCTTTCCAGCAACCAATAAAACTGTCAAAATAACCAAGAAGAGAATTCTGAGTCGCATGAATCTCCGCAGCTTCTAGCTTAAAAACAACTTGAAAGATGTCGTTTGACCAACACAAGGACTAACCAAAATTACCGATAAAACAAAAACAAATGAAAACTACAAATAAAGTTCATTTTCTTCAGAAACTCATTCATTCATGTAGTTCACTGCTACTAACAAGCAGGATTTTTTTCTCCTGATGATGGCCATGCTGGCCGAAACTAGTCTAGGAACCTAAGTGAAGTAATAAAAGAAAAAATATTATTATACAACCCAGTGTGTCTGAAAATTTTTAATTTTTTAATTTTACAATATTTTTATTATTCAAAACACACACACACGCATAATACTTGACATATATATATGTAATAATTGACATATATATATACATAATATTTGACAATATATATATATATATATATATATATATATATATATATATATATATATATATATGTAATAGTAAATAAAAAATTTAAACAAGTAAAAAATAAAATTAAACAACACAGTTACCTATAAGAATATTTTTGAGGGTTCTTAAAATAAAAATAAAAATAAAACTATAATTTAATTCTGTTTCTAAATAGTTGTTGCAAAGTAAAAGCCTTATATTTGCTTCGAATAAACCCATCTGAGGATGAAATCCATTGGTAAAGAAAAGTTTTCCTTGTCTTTATTCATATATATATATATATATATATATATATATATGTGTGTGTGTGTGTGTGTGTGTGTTCGTGTTTTCTACTTATTTTCAATAGGATCTTCTCATATTATTTATGAATACTCCAAAAATGTGTAAAGATTTTTACAGTAGATAATTTAAAATATCTTGGTTTTAACTAATAGTTTTTTTTTCTTTTTTCAACCATATTACTTTAAATTTTCGTCCAAAATGGGCTTTGAACAATTCTTGACAGTATTTCCTCCTTGTTAGCAAATGATTATGCATAGTTTAGAAAAGATTAAAATTCATCCACATGTAGATTGTTTTTAGAATAAAAATTATTAATACTAACTTTTAATAATCAAATCAAATTATTAAATAAAAAGAATGAAATAATGGGTCAATGCCGACATATTAACAAATATTTACTTTGTTACTTTAATAATAATATAACATAACAAATTAATTAAAATATTAATTAAAAATATTAACTGGAATATTATAATTTAATTAACAATAAAAATTAACTAATATTACAATTCAATTCATAACATAACATAACATCTTCTATATAAACCATAAAAAATAAATTTAATTTCAAAGAATGAATGCAGCTGGATTGCCTTCCCAAAATCGAACCCGTAGGCCTCGACCGTGGTGATGGAAAGGGGCCGGATGGCATTACCATTTTCCCTTTTAAAATGGGGAAGTCGTTGATTTGGGATGCGACCTGTGAGGATACGTTTTCGGCCGGTAATTTGATCAGGTTCGCGGTTGAGCCGGGGTCCGTCGCCCGGGATGCAGAGATAAAAAAAAAATAGTTCTCTTGCTGATGGATTCTTTTACTCCTGTGGCAGTGAAGACTTCTGGGGTTATTGACCCTCGTTCGATAATGTTCTTTTGGAGGATAAACATAAAAATGTCTTAAAATAATTGTCGGACTTTGTCCATTTCATAATGTCTGACATCATTTGTTTACACTTGGATACGCTTTGAGCAGATATGAATTTACGTGAGAAATTTATGGAAGATTGTAGTTTAAAAGCAGTAAAATCGACCTTGCTAACCGAATAATCCTCTGTGGCTCAATCGGTTAAGGCACGTCAGGCTATATTGACGGTTCCGTATAGGATACAGGTTCGATTCCTGTCGGGGGACGAATATTTTCTATGAAAATTTCTCGGACATCCAGGCCGGTAAATGTTATTAATACTGTTTATTATAAATTTAAATAATTGTATCTATAAAAAGAATGTATAAACATAAAAATATCTTAAAATAATTGTCCATTTATATATATATATATATATATTGTTAAATATAAAAGACAACGAATGCCTATTATGTTTGATCATTGGTCGTTCTAAGCTTCGTATAATGGCTTTATTTTCAGGAGAAAATAAAGACTAAAACTGTCCAACATTTGGATATTTTGCTGTTCCACGATCTAAGCTTTCGGCTCAAATGAGCCTTCATCAGAGTTGGTTATATAGACATTATAACAGAGATGTTCACTGTCAAAGATGACATCGTGTTATAATGTTCATATAACCACTCTGATGATATCTAATGTGAACCGAAAGCTTACGTCGAAGTACAGCGTAATAAAAAAATATCCAAACGTTCGATATTTTTGTCTGTATTTCCTAATTCGTTGTCTGTTATATTTAACAATATATGTTTGAATAATAATCTACTGCCCCAATACAATATATATATATATATATGTGTGTGTGTGTGTGTGTGTTTGTGTGCGTGTGTGTGTAGAGAAAAAAGAAAAAGATCGAAGCACATATATATGTTTCTCTTTATTTTCTTTAAAAGAATTTTCTATCTTCTTCCTTTATCTTAACAGTTTTGTTTCGTTGTTTTTCTCCACTTCACATGTCAGATTTTCTCAATCTTCCATCTCTGTCTCATAAATATTTGTTTTATTGTACCTTCCAAATCTTTCTTTTCTAAATTTCTACCCACATTTCATGCCATTCTCCCATTTACCTTGAATTTTTCTCTCCCTTTGACACAAATGCTACACCACACGTCATTAATATTCGCTTTGTCACTTTGTCAATCAAGTCTTCTCTTCTCCTTTCACTTTTTCTTTTTTTACAGGTTTCACTTTCACTTTCACCAAGACACACCCTTTTTATTCAATGTGACATTTTCTTTCTACCTATATTACTTACATTTTTTTTACCTCTCTCCCTCTCAGCTTCCCTAATTACAAAACATAAATGTGCTCTTCTTTTTTTTTAGTTTCTTTCTTCTTTCCTTTCCTCACTAACAACTCTCTCCCACAATTCTCTCTATATGTTTTTAGCCCTCCTTAATATTTTCTCTTTTTCTATTCCCACGGTTAACTATTCCCTAAACTAACACAGTACATTTGACTTTCGGACAATATGATGCGCATTACAACATCCCCCCTCTCCCGCCGCTCATCTTTACCCGTAACCCTCCATCCCCTTGTCACATAAACATATGGAAATATTACACCCCACCAAGTGCAACCGTCGACCTTCCCAACACGCTCTCAAAGTCCACTAACCGCCATTAGAACCACAAGTGACTTGCGATCAGATCAGCTACGTGTCCCCAAGGCGCGCGGGTGGCTCTATCGTCGACACACAGCGAACAGATGCTCTGGATCGTCGTGTTTGGCGCCCGTCTCGCCCGATGCGATTTCATTAGGGCCACAGACAAATTAATCTATGTGATGAACGTGATTCTTCTTTAATTTAAACAGAGAAAACAATTACGTTGTGTTAGTGTGCCGCGCCGACTGATCCCCCCCCATCTAACGGCCATCAATCATCGCACGTTGATGGCACATCGGCGTTGCCCGATAGCCACGCCCACCCCTTAACGCCAACATCCTAGACAATAGACTTGGCTCGATTCTAAAACCACACACATAATCTGTATGCACAAACACACACATTTTCTCGCGTGCTTATACACACACACACACGCACTCTCTATTTCTCTCTCTCTCTCTCTCTCTCTCTCTCACGCACGCACACACAAATGCAGATACATATATATGTGCCTAACATTATTTAATAATTATAATTTCCATTTTTTTCTTTTACCTTTCTCTCTTCCCCGCTTCTTTATCTGTTTTGTCCCAAACTTCCTTACTTGATTTCATATATTTGTATGCATGCCTATTTTGCTGGCAAACTCTGCCTATCTTGTCTATCTCTTCGTTTTCTGCTCTCTTCCCTCGGGAATGAAAGGGACGTGAAGAAAAGAGAACAGAAGAAGAAGAAAAAAGAAGAGGAGGGAAAAGCAGGAGGAGAGGAAGAAGAAAACATCAGTCTCAAATGAGGCCTTCGATCAATTGGTAAAGAATAGGACGATGACTTTTTTCCGGCTGGTAGAGTTTATCATCCCTATTTCATCGGGAAAGAAAGAAAGAAGAAGAAGAAGAAGAAGAAGAAGAAGAAGAAGAAGAAGAAGAAGAAGGAGGAGGAGGGGAGGACGAAGAAGAAGAGGAGGAGGCAAATAAGTAGAAGAAGAAGGGATTGAAAAAGAGGAACAGAAGAAGAAGTCATGAGTCCCAAATGAGACCCTAGATCCATTGGTACACAATAGGACGATGACTTTTTCCGGCTGGTAGAGTTTTATTATTTTCCTACCTTTTTTAGCTTTCAAATTGCGTTTTATTTACACAAACTCGCGGGTAAACAAAAGTAACTGAGGTGAAATACAGAGAGAGAGAGATAGTGAGAAGTAGGGAAAAGAGAGAGAGAGAGAAACAGAGAGAGGAAGTGGGAAGCAAAGAGAAAAGAAAGTGTGAAATAGAGTAACAAAGAAAGAGGGAGAGAATGTGGGAAGCAGAGAGAGAGAGGGGGGGCAGGAAGCAGAGAGAGGGGGGTGCGGGAAGCAGAGAGAGAGAGAGTTTACAGTTTACAGTAAAGAAAGGAAATTCCAAGTGATACGTGAAAAGATCTGCAATTCGATTGAGGCATTCACAAAAGTTTAAATCTGTCCTACTAATGAATGCAAACAATACGGAATCACCTTTTCCTCAGCAATTACTATTCATTATGTCAGCACTATTCGCTGAACTGGTTGGGCCAAAGACTGGAGACAGAGAGATTCAAAACCAAGTTAAATAATTGTTAGGAGAAGCTGATTTTCCTTCCCCTATAAAGAACGATAACTCAAAATACAATTGAGTTACTTCCCTTGTCTGCGAGAACAGGCGTGCCACTTCTGAATTGAACATAGTGACAAGCTGACACGGCCGTGGAATTCATTATTTCAATCCATGCAATCCTTAAAGTGAATGAATAAAGTTGTTTATTTATCTGTTAAAATATAGTTGTCTGATAAAATCTTCATTCATTTTTGTTCATCCCAAAAGCCTGAGATTTAACAATAACCAAATCTTATTTTGAACTAGGTCAAAAATTGATTTTTGTCTTGTGATTATTTTATAGTTGTAAACCCCCATTAACTCTGGAGTCCGGATGCTGAAGGTAACATCAATCAGCTAAGTGACAACCCTTATACTTGTATTTTATATATATATATATATATATATATATATATATATATAATACAAGTATAAGTGTTGTCACAATTTTAAAGTTTATATATATATATATATATATATATATATATATATATATATATATATATATATATATTTTTTAAATTTTTTTTTATCCGATATTGTTTCTTTGTATATAAGAATAAACGTTATAACTATAAACGTTATTTCTCCCACTAACATTGTACGCACAAAAAATAATGTTTATAGTAAAGAAACAATGTCGGATAAAAAATACTTTCAAAAAATGACTGTTGTTTACGTTTCTAAGCTAGCAGATATAAATGTAGAAATCCCAACGAGAAATGTGCTTCACTTAAATAGATAATTCAAACCTTGCACTGTCAGACTACGTGGCCGAAATTGGTAGAAGTACACTTTGGCACATCTCGTCACTGATATAAATGATGGCGTATGTATGACATAATAGGTAGTGTAGCAGTGACAGTACAATTGCGACAGCAATACAAGCCAAGCAGGATTTAACGTTATTTATCTTTGGAATGATAGTTGAAACCAGAAAAATTGGACAGTCTATAACCGAGATGCCAACTGCTCTAGATTGCATCCATAGCAAATGAATACCAGGAAAACGTGAATTCAAATCGATATCAACGGCGCAGGTAACACAAGTTAAGCAAAAAATGGATATTCAAACCATCAGACATCGGACTGTACAGCATACTGCATTACATGAGATTTCGTAGTTGTCGAGCAATAAATCCAATCAAATGAATTCAATCAGACGAGTAACGTTTCCAGTTAATTTAGGAAGATGTTAGAGTTCATGTGCTGACGAGACAGCATGAGATTATCGACTTAATCTGTCAGTAGGATTATGTGTAAACTTATAGTAGCTTTGTAACAGTGTATTACAAAGACAAATAATAAGTTTGCAATCTGTGTAATATACACAAAACTTGTTACAGACTAATTACACCTCTTTATGTTCGCGATATTTCCTGGTGGTTATGACGGAAACCTTGTGTGTGCAGGTGGTACGAGACTGGTACCAGAACCCCTCAACTGACTTCCATGTACTCCATTGGTACCCTGCTCACCAGATCTAAACCCTATTGAGCATGTATGGGACGTCACAAACTCCAATATCCCTGCAACCACTCAGTACACATCTCAATTACACAGGGAATATGATAGATTTATCCACGCAACAAATTCTGAACGTTATTAGCTTTCCCTCTCTAGTTTCTGTCTTTCTTTATCGCAGGGCGGGGGAGTGCTTCCGTTTAAATAGATCAGTGAATGAATAAGAAGAAGCTGAAACGAAAGATGGGGAAGAACGCTAAGAGAGAGAAAAAAAGGCAGGTCAATGTCTTTATAAATAAAATAGAGAATTCACTTCTTTACCTGTCAGGATAGCAATTTATTTGAGATCAGGAATTTTTTTTTTTAGTCATGCCAAAGAACTTACGGTAAAGTCCAGACTAACAAAAGTACCAAGAAGAATCCGCGGGGTGGGGTGCATATATGCCTATATTGGTACGTATCTTTTTATTATAAATATTTAGTGGATACACGTATATGAACAAATATCTTTTCTTTTTCAAACAGTGAAATTCATGTCTAGCAGTCGGGGGAATCAAAAGTTTTATTAAAGAAAATGTGACTCTCAACTAGGATCGAACCTGTGTCTCCTTTAACCTGGGAAAACCATCATTAAACTCGGCATGCGCTTTTATCCTCTAACCAATGGCATATCTCACAGATGATATGGTAGTTTTCAAAAGTCGTGGATTAAATGTGCAAGGATCGATCCCTGCTTAGATTTCTATTTCCTAGGCTGGTAGACGTCAAAACAATCGAGGTGCTTAAACATACACGCATATCCAAAAGATATACCGCTTTTAGTATTAAAAATAATGTCGGATTAAAATTTCATTAATTACTTAAAAAATTAATATGCATATATGTGTGTGTTTGTTTAAAGTACGTTACCCCTTTAGGAAATACAACGAACGAGACGAAGAATATGAAGGCATCAGGTCAGTTTTCTTTTTGTTTCTTTCAGTATCATCTCACGATCAATACTACGTACAGGATGAGATCAGTAAATTGTCGCCATTTATATTTATATGTGCCTTGTTCCTTTTTGATTTTGTCAACTGTACAGTATAAAACGGGCAATTAGACACTGTCTTTAAGAAAAAGAGCACCATGACGCAATTCAGTCCGCCACAAATTTGGAATTGGCATGCTGTACTGTTTGATATTTACACCGGAATCTCCAATACGAACATTTCAGAGTTTTTGGAGTGTCAATCTGAAGACAGTGCAGAGGATTCGGAAAGAGTTTGATGATCTATCAAGACGATATCATGGTGTTTGGAGTGGTCACTACTGATGGTTATGTTATGTTTTCATTCATCTTCCAACAGGGCCTCAGACACAACACAGAAGTTTACATCAAGTGTCTTGTGGAGATAGCGCTGCCCTGGATCAAGGGTGTGGCTAATGGAAGACCTTATATCTGGCAACAATTTTGCACCATGCTGCAAAAGCAGGATAACCCAGTCATGGCTATCAGACAATTTCTGCGACCATATCACCACTTACAGCTGACCATCTAACTACCCACACTGCAACCCTCTGTGGGGTGCAGTTGAGCAAGAGAACAACAAAACTCCTTGTAATACCAAAGATGAAGTGAAGGCAAGGATTATGGCAGCATTTACCAACATAAACAAGGAGACTGTCCAGTAGAGTTACAGGAGATTTCGAAGTGGTTGAAGCCAATATCGAGTTCGATTGATTTTTAGTGTGTGTTTTGCTAGAGAAGTGATGGTTAGTTTATATCTGTTGCACGGGTCTCAACATAAAAGGAGTCATCTCAATATGGGTGTTCATATGGTATAACATCAAAACATAGAACTCAAGCTAACTTGTTTGCACGCATTTAGGCATATCAAAAACAATACGTGTGCATTTCTCTTTATTTTCCGCTAAATGATTAACTTCATGTCTGTATGCTCAAAATGAATACCTAAAAAAGGAAAGTTTAGAGAGAGATAGAGAGATCAAGGCTTGAAATAATAATCTATTTGAATGAATTCAATCAGGTATGATTCACAATATGGCCACCGTTGCCGCTTTTTGTCTTCAGAGAGGCTTTTTATTTTGTCCTGTCTTCTGGACACGCAGTCAACTTCACTAAGTTTACATTTAAGTTCCACGCTTTATTTGTTTTGCATTAAGTGAAGCGATTAACAGCTTTAGTGTACGCCGAAAATCTGAACTTTGGATTCCGCTCACCCTGTTATGTTAGTGATGTCACGGTGGTTTTAGAGTCCCGTGCCCAATTCTCGCAAGGAAAGCTTTGCTAAAATAAAAACATGGCCAATGGGTGGGGAGAACAATTACTCAGGTTATTTAATATTGGGTTTCTTTATCGGCGAGAAGGGAGTAAAGAAAGCATTGTAGCATTGTACTTAAAGTTGTTTAGTCGACTGTGACGGCCAATTAGGACTTTTCAATCTTAAAACTACCTTATATAAATATACAGAGTACGATACTTCACTTATCAAAAATTCTTCTTATCTCTTTTTTTCTCTCTTTCATTTTCTGCTTTTATCAAAATCAAAATCATTTCTTCCTTTCCTCTCCCATGAAACTAAATGCTAACAATAATTCGCATACCCTGCGCACATTATTTATATGAAACTTTTCTCGCTTCTTACTTTAATATGAGACAAAATTTGCTTTCCAACCTGCTTTTCATTTTATCTCTTAATAGAAGCACAGGAAAAGCAGTAGACTGCAGTCATTTCTGCGGAATTAATCTGATTCATTTTCAATGTCATTCAAGTTTAACAAATTTGCTTGCTATATTTATAGGTATACATTTTATGAGGTTCTTGTACCCAGTTTTATTTGGGGTAAAACCTGATTTCATATAAACAAAGTACGCGAATCTTTTTGTACCTTTTTATACTTGTAGAATTGTAATTCAGGAAAGTACATTAATTCAATATGTTTCTGTTGAAAATTTCAAATCTCCGTTTAGAAATTAAAATCGTTGACGTCTTCTCTTCAAAAAGATATATAAGAATAAAAATGGCATGTTATTTTTTCATTCTTTTCACAAAACTGATGTAAATGTATGCAATGGTGAGGCTGTTTTGAAATTCAGTGTTTAAACTATTACATTATTTATATTTCAAAGTAAGTATTTACTTTTTCAAACGTTTAATATTTAGGTTTATTCAGAAACTTATTCATCTTTTTCTTATTATGAAAATGTTCCTTTCTAAGCATTTTATTTGCTAATCGATTCTATAGTATCAATAAAAAGGAAAAAATCATCTTGTATAATATTCTTTTTATACACACATAAATGTTTTTATCATTTTAACATTATTTTTAGTGGAGACTTCTATTTGAATAGACGCTCCATTTATTTATTAAACAATATATTTATTTATTTTCGTCTACCGACCTGAATATTCGACAAATCTTTTTAAAAAATATGCACTCTCCGGTACGATTCGATTCAACGTCCTAACCGGAATTAGATCCGATGTGCCTTAGACGACTCGCTCACGGAGCAGCCTCGCCAATCCAGCGATGTTTGATAATTGCCTTAAATAAAAAAAAATATCTCAGAATTAATAATTTAAATAAAATAAAACTACACTAATTTTGAAAATTATAACGATGTCTATTGATGGTGATAGTTCTTTAATGCGACCTTTTTGAATAAAGTTGCTTATAACTAATGGCATCCACATTTACTTTCACGACACAGTCGTGTCTCTTACATATTTCTGGGTTATATATATATATATATATATATATATATATATATATATATATATATGTATGTGTGTGTGTGTGTGTGTGTGTGTGTGTGTGTGTGTTAAATAAAGTAACTACGACATATTTGAAACACAAAATTAAAAATAAATGAGATATAAAGGTATTTTTTCTTAATAAATTAAGCAATAATTTAATGAATATTTCTTAATGAAAAGATGAGAATCATTGTCAATGCATATTTAAAATCTTTCAAAAAACATTGAATAACAGCTTTATTTATTTTATGCAATATCAAACCTTTCTCTTCAACAAAATTCTTTAAATTCTGAAATCTTTCTGTCTTTCTGTCCTTCTGCTGTAAACCGCAGTCTTAAATATGCCCTCCCCCATCCGCCAAATAAATCTAAAATTTTTATAACAGGGGATCTTGTTGCCCAAATCAGTTTTCCAGTCCTGCTAATTTTCTATCGAAAAGCTCTCTGATGAGCTATGGGGGAAGCTTATGTGTACCGCCCTCCTGAAAAAATGTTGTTTGGAAACCCCACATCGAAAGTTGTGGCAAAAAGCAAATATCCAACATGTTTGATGGGGAAACATATTTCAGTTTTAACCTGCAATGGTTCCAGCAATGAGGCAATCCCTTCATTTGCATCCTATTATGTCTGTCTGTCTGTCTGTCTGTCTGTGTGTGTGTGTGCCTGTGTGCGTGTGTGCGTGTGCCTGTGTATGTGTGTGCCTGTGTGTGTGTGTGTGTGTGTGTGTGTGTGTGTGTGTGTGTGTGTGTGTGTGTGTGTGTGTGGACAGAGATCAGCACCAAATGGCTAGTCGGTTTCATGTTTGAACTCAATTTTCAAGTCATCTATACCGGGTAATGTAAAAATTGGTTTGTTGAAACACCGGTTCCCTGTACCATCACTGAAGTTAAGGAACGTCGAGCCTGGTTAGTTCCTAGATGGGTGACCGCTTAGGAATACCAGGTGCTATAAGTTCAGATGTGAGTGTGTTGTAATGGAAAATGGCTTGGAAGTGTTAATCGGAAAGCCAATTCTAGTTGGGTTTGTCATTGCGTGCAAATACCCTTGGAAAATGTAGGAATCCGCTTCTTTTCTCTCCAGCTATGGGTTAATTAGTAAGGTTGTATCCCTAAATCGTGATTATCTAAAAAAAAAAGTTCTTTCAAACTAAACATATTTTACGGCATTAAATAACCTACAATGGGTCGATAAGCTGTAGAAAACAAAACAATTAGTTAGATTAATATATATATATATATATATATATATATATATATATATATATATATATATATATATATATATATATATATATATATATATATATGAATGTTTTATTTTTTTTCAAGGAGCGAATGTATCTGAACAGCTATTGTGAACTATCCAACCAGACCGTGTATTTAAATACAAGACAAATCGTTCTTTGTAAAAAAAAAAAAAAGTTTCCGACTATTATCTTTGTATCAATGGCACAAATTGGTCATTCAATTCGATTTATGTCGAAAAAGCCCGTTATAATATAAATTGTTTAATACACATTCAGAGCCGTCATTATTGTCATTTTTCTTGTATGAAATACTGCTTTACCTCCAAGAAAGAGGGTAACTTTTTTGTTCATCGGTGAATATTAGGGAAATTCTTCCTGAACATAGGTATATTTCTGAATTAACATGTCTCACTCAGATGCTTTGAACAACCAGTGATCCACAAAGAAACGAAAACTCTGCCATGATTGATAGTGGACTACAGGCGTGGTACATGATTTGTGCCAGATGATTGCAGATTAGGTTTTGCATTCATTGTTGCACCACAGCATCAGAGAAGCCAACTGCATCAGCTGGACGTACTAGACGATAAAAATTCACACCTTCACTCGATGTCAGTGGTTGACTTTGACCATTGATTATATGCATGCGTGGGACAAACAGAATGACAGGTAAATTTATACGCATCAACTCGAGAGAGAGAGAAAGAGAGAGAGAGGAAAGAGAGAGAGAGAGAGAGAGAGAGAGAGAGAGAGAAAGAGAGAGAGAGAGAGGAAAGAGAGACTCTCTTTCATCCTAACGAGAATTTAGAAGATACATTCGGATAAATCCCAAAGCTACACCACCACTCGTCAACAGAAAAATGAGGATAACCCAGATACCAGTGGTTTATTCATCATCTCAATTAACCACTCAATTAACCACTCAATTAACCGCTCAATTAACCGCTCAGTTAACCGCTGCTGCTTCTGATGAATGCTGAGTGGTTAAAGAAAACCTATTTCAAATTGACCCACCAAACTGAACGAAATTTCCGTGTTTCTTTGAATTCCTTATTTAAATGTCTAGTCAGGTGATTAATAGTGGAAAGCAGAATTGGTCATTTCAATGAGATTTGATGCTGTGTCATTCCATCTTCGGATAGACTAATAACAAGATCCTTTTGAAATCGGAAATTTCCAGGAAGAAGAGAAATCATTGGAAATGAGTGCTCGGTAATTTCTCTTGTAATTTCATAATAAAATCATAATTTTCAATGGGTACATATTTATCAAACGTCAAATATATTTTTGTTAAATAGTGAATTTGTTGAAAATAAATCAATCATATCAATCCCTCTCGCTCTATCGTCTATCGGTCTGTGCATTCGAGAAAATTTAAATTCGGCGACAAGGTTCGAAATTCCATCCCCCTTTGTAGGAGAAACCATCGTTTGATCCATTTGGTGACAGAGAGCGCCACAGCCCTATAAGTTTCTATTTAAGAAATGCACACATTCCTTTTCAGTTATTCTCGAAAGTCCTTCTCTGTTCAGTTCCGTATCCGAAACGTAAATAAAGCAAGGATTAAAGGATTTTTTAATCCGACATTTTTATTATCAATTTTTAAAATATAAGCGCCGTTTTCTTTTTTTTTTTAATGTAATGTTAACTTTTTTTATCATTAAAACGTGACAAGCATACGCATGACTAAGTTTCACAAGACGCGATTTAATTTGTGCTTCGATAGAACCGATTGTTAGACGCTGAAAATGAAATCAGTTCCATTATCCCATCAGCATTTGTTACTGTAGAAATTTAAATTACATTTCAGTTAAGTAATTGTCTATACATATATGCAATGTGTGTGTGTGTTCATTTATTTCGTAATCTATTCATATCAAACCTGCATATTTCTGTCTGTCGTCCTACATTTCATTGGCAAAGTGAAAAAATATGAAGCTCTAATAATAATTGAAAATTATAAATCTTTCATGTTAATTGTTCGGATGAAATCTTTGTTATGGTACCAAGACTTTATGAATTTAAACGCAGTATTAGACTGGCGTCGAGATCTCATCAATTTAAAGTTGAGCTGGCTAGATGTAGCTGTAAATTCTATGCTAACAGTTTCTTTTCTCGCACTTCTCGCTTGTGGAACTCCCTTCCGGCTCCATGCTTTCTAACCAACTTTAATCTGCAAAAATTTAAATGCAATGTCAACCACTATCTACTGTCCTCCTTTTTGTTTATGATCATTAGTAATATTTCTGTTTCTGATTCTTCCACAACCAGTAACTTCTTGTAGCTTTAGTGCCTTGCATGGTGTGAAATCGATAAAAAATCACGCCTACTGGTTTGCTCTTCTTAGTAATGCAATATTCCGATATTATTGTAACAGGAGTCATTATTTGAAGCCAATAAGTGATCACGGTTGTGTTAATATAACAGCGAAAGAAATTATAAATAAGTAGGGGAAACAAGCTGCTGATATATTTTGTGTTTATTTCTTTTGTTACGTATTAACTTTTTTATTATTTTTAGTCTTAATAATTTAAAAGGATTTAATTTCAAGTCCCCCACCCACGACTCTGACGGTGTTCTGACAAAATCAGGATATTATTTGCATTTTTTTGTTATATCAGAAAATGAACATTTAGTATAATTGTAGCACGTGACACAACTCCGGAGGTATTAAATACGCGGTTGTAATTGATTTTGCGAGACAAACTTACTAGCCTTTACACCACGACGAAGTTCAATGGGCATTTGGTATTTGATCGATTTAACATTGCAAACATTTTTGTTTCTGTTTTAACATATATTTTAAATATAAACGTTTTAAATGATGTGTTAATTTTCTTCGATATTTATTAGAGTTGTTTGGGTTTTTTATCATAAAAGACTGTAAGAACATGTTGTAGGTTGTAAGTCTGAAACATTATCAAAAGATACAAAAAAAGGGTTTTATAACCTGAAATACTTTGAATGGTGTGCATCCCTTTTAGATTTGTACCGAATTTATGTCCATTTACATCAGAAACAAATAAAGTGGGTTTAGGAAAGTTATCAAGCCGCCATAGTATTTGCTAATCGACTTAACAAGCCGGTCTATCCTAACCGTTGACACTTAAGAGGGCAATCAATTGGCCCTGTCGACAAAAGACTTTCAAATAAAACCCTTTCAAAAATAAGGATGTTGGCATAAGCCACTCCCAGTTAGTCATTGTTAACGATCTCAAACACTACAGACTACTGTCTAATTCGTGTTTGTCAAGCCTCTATCAATATTTTGACAAAATGTGTTCCTTACAGCAAATATACGATCCGTTTTCAGAAGACGTAATGTGCAATGAAAGCACCTGGATGGAATCGCTGACAAGTTAAATTTTACAAACAGTCTCAAAAATGTCTTTTCATATTAATGTGAGAATCTCTCCTCTAATATATATATATATATATATATATATATATATATATATATATATATATATATATATATATAGATATAGATAGATATAGATATAGATATAGATATATGTATAAAGAGAGAGAGAGAGGGGGGGGATCTGTTTATAATTGTGTCACGACTTCGGATCTTATTTTCATAAATATGTTCGTGTGTTTGCGTGCTCTTGTGAACCAGTGTCTGTATGTCTGTGTGTGTGTATCTTTCAACACCTGAAAAATAGCAACTGAATTTTAAAAGAAAGAATAACAAGGGATCTGAAGTTTTGTGTCCTTTTTGTTCCACAAAAATGAATGAAAATTATCAATCGTTTTAAAAATATTATTTAATAAAATTATCAACTAATTCTGTTGGTTTTATCAGGAGCGAATAACTCTTCGTTTTTTGTTTTTTTGAGGGTTTTTTTTTTGCAACTCGAAATTTCTCAAAAAGGAATTATTCGGCCATTTTTAAAAATTTTATATGAGAACAAAGAAAACTATTTTCCAATTTGAATGAAATAAATAATGTCTGTCTGAGCTTTAATTAAACTCAGACAGACATTAAATATTTTTTATAATCTTATTTCTCCTCTTCGATACCGAAAATATTATTAATCAACACTTTATTTTTTTTTTAAATTGAATATGTGTAAAATCTAAAAGTATTAAAAAGTCACTTGGGCGGATTAGGTCTTTGATTCGTTGAAAATCAGTTTTCTTGTGCTAGTTGAATATTTGTAATGAACATCACTGTATCGGCACTTGAAGAGAAATGCCAAGTTTACATTTCACTTTCGCCCTCTAATTTTGTGTGGCCTCTCACCAAAATTAGTCAGCAACTACAAGACAGAAAGGAAAATATTTACCGAAATATTTTCTATTGTTTTATACCAACAATGCACTCATCTCTTTTTCCTTTTTTTCTCTTTAGTGCATACTTCCCTCTATTCTCCATCTATATGTTTCCCTCTTTCTCTCATTCCTTTTTATCTGTCTCCCTTTCTTTCTCTTTCCTATATATGTATGCCTCTCTCTGTTTCCCATCTATAAACATCTTTCTGGTTTCATCTATCTGCCTCTCTGCTTCAAGCGAATATGTCTCTCTTGTTTATATATCTGACATGCTCTGGTAATAACATATTTGCATCTACTCTTATTTCTCCAAATTACTTTTTCTTAGCATTCATATGCTTATAAAATCTACATTATGATTATAGAATGTACGGTTTGAGCTAATATTTCAATCACTGCTGACATATTTTGCCATTACTGCCAAGATATAATAACTCTTGCTCCATCCCTCTTTCTCTTTGTTTCTATCTGAAAGTAATGTAGCGTCTGTCCTTCCAAGTTAGAGAACTAATACTGTTGCTTTTTAAGCGCTATCTTGTACGCATGCGTGATTGCACTTATAAGATTGTTGGCTCGGATTCAAGTCTCACAAGCGATCAAAAACCAATAAAACAAAACTTTTATTTCCAAACTTTCAATTATTTCCTTTCTTAATTCATTGTCTGATATATTTCAGACATAATGCCCCAACTTTTTGTCTTGAAAAATGAAATACTAATAACAAGATTATTAGATTTTACATTACTGCATATTTTCGTGCCGGTAGAAATGAAATGAAACTATTACTAAATAATACACGGGTATGAGACGGAAGCATTGGTTTTACGCTGTGCATTATTGTAAGTGACTATATTGCAAGGAATACTAGTAGTTCATCTTGTTAAAGTACGGAACCGAAGTCATTTAACATTAAAACATTGACGTTTTCAGAAAGGAGTTTTTATATCTAAATAAATTAATGGCAAATTCTGTCTGTCCGTTCGTGTGTCTGAAATCCAACTTGCTCTACATAGACATATTATACCTTTTTGGAATCAGGATGATCCCAGAATTGAAAATATGTTCTTCATTTAGTACTTGGACATCCGGCATTGGGATTTGTTCATTTAGTACTTGGACATCCGGCATTGGGATTTGTGTCCGGTTGAGTGATTTGTGAAAAGTTAAAAATTCAAATTTAAAAATAACTCTGATTTTTTCACTTATTTCAAAATTTGAATTTTAAGTTGTTTTTTTTTTTCATTTATATTGAGTTTAAAATAACACAAAAAATTTGTGAATTAAAAAGTTTTTGTTTTAAATTCAGTTTCAAAGATCTCCAACATTTTGTGGATATTGAGGAAATCAATTTTATTTTTTTGAAAATGCCAAGGGTCAGAGCCAAGGATCAGAGCCAAGGATCAAAGCCAAGGATCAGAGCCAAGGATCAGAGCCAAAGATCAAAGCCAAGGATCAGAGCTAAGGATCAGAGCCAAGGATCAGAGTCAAGTGAGAGGTTTTGTGACGTGAGGTTT